ACAAGAATGAAGATTCCTCTCTTATGGGCAGCTGTTTGGATTTTGAAATATTTCCTCGAGTTGAGGTTCAAGTGGTTTGATGCTTTTCTTTTTTCTTACAGAACGAAAGCAATGATATTTGAGAGGCTTCCATTTTTACAAATATTATGTTGCTGGACATTATCCATTGTCCTGTATTTATCTAAAAACACTGCCCTGTTTATTTTTCAAAACACGACATTTCGGAGGTTTAATCCTCTTATATTTCAGCCCTTGCACGAACCGCAGAGAAAACGTCCCTTCCATTATTGCGTGTTCTGTAGTTGCCGGGGAAACAACATGTCCACAGTGCTGTTCCTTAGCAACGGCTGTTTTACTGTCGCCTGTTTAAAAGTGTGGTCTACAGACACGACTTAGCAGGTGTTCCACTAATATTGTCTGTATCAAATTAAGGGGAGAGTGAGCTAAACAGTAGATATTTCTTTTCGCAGGGCGGTTCGGACGGGTGATTGTGATCCCGAAGCACGGGAAAGACATGCTGAAGCGGGAAATCTGGCGGGAACTGAGACTTCTGGACCAGCTCATCCAGAACGAGACGGTCCGCTGGCAGGACGAGGAGCCCTTCACCTACCGCGACGTGTGCGCTCGGTGGGTCGACGAATGCTTCCAAAACGACGTTCTCAACCTCGACTACATTATCGACGAGGTCGAGAGCCGAACCCTGAACCTCACGTTTCCCATCATGTTCAACCCTGTCACGTGGGATGCCCATACGTTCCCTGTCTACTTTGGTGGCACAGTGGTTAGTGAAGACGGCCTCATCATCAGTGTGCCGTCAGTTCAGCTTGTGTACTTCGTCACTGCAGACACCAAGAGACAGGATGCCAGGTAAGGTCCCGTGTAACGGCATAGTGACCAAACTACAGGCTGGAAGGCCTAGGGAATTGGGGATAGATTCCCTGACCGGCCCTGGGACACGTCAAGCCTCGTATCCAGTGGCTACTGCGGTTCTTTCCCTGGAGAGGTAGCCTCAGGGCGTGAAGCTGACCTCTCACCTCCATCTACTGCCGAGGAAAAGTTATGTGGAGATATACCTCCATTCCCACATACGTCTTCATAGCGTGGTGCTTACTTAAGCACTGGGGCAGGAAGGGTTCATTGTTAAGGGCCGGAAAGGCGGAGTCCCACCAACACCGAGGAGTAACCACAACGTAACGGGTTCGATTCCCGATGAGGAATCATTGGATTTTTCAATTGACCTGACACTTCCAGCCTCACTATGACCCTGGGGTCGACTCTGACAGAAATAAGTATCAGGAATCTTCCTGGGGGGAAGAGAGCGGCCGGCCGGCGCGTATGGCTGACAACCTCACCGCCATCTGTGAANAAGAGGGCGGCCGGCCGGCCGGCCGGCCGGCCGGCGCGTATGGCTGACAACCTCACCGCCATCTGTGAACCAGTTGTGTAGAAAATGTGGGAGCCTCGACGCCTCACAACCCTATGGGCCTCTACGGCCTGTTACAAGGATATCTTTACCTTTTTAAAGTTTAATTCTATAGGATTGCATAAGACGTTTTTGTTGCAAATTTTTCCCCATGGAAATTCTCTTTTGATTACATTATCTGTCGCAAGTTCGGATATTAGTTATTTTTTAAAGTTTTAAAGTTCTTCCGCTACCCCCTCTCCTTTAGCTTAATGGTAATACCATGCCTTTGTATGCTTCTGTGTTTTAGCCTACTTTCCTTATTTTGAAAAGACTCAAAATAGGCCTATGAGATCACCATGCTGTCTGTGTGTCTATGTACTCTCTCCTATCAACTTCTGAATGCCTGAACCGATCTTCGTGAAACTTGGCATATCATGGCACCTGAGCCCATCTCAGCTGTGTACTTCATAAATTCCTCCCATCAGTTTGTGTGTCTATTTGTGTATCCCCTTGTCGTTGCTAGGCAACGGCTACAGCAATGACAGCGCATGACACGCACAATACACTGGGTCGGCAAAGATGAGGCCACTGCGACCGACATCTTTGTGTGTTGTCTGAAAAGGATAGATTTCATAATGTGGCGTCTCCTTCAGTACGTCACCTGCATTTTAAAGCTGCATACAGGGATGGAGTCCTCGTGTGTCGTTCCACAGAGATTCGCCCACTGTACATTGCACAGCACGAGTTTCATACTTCTTGCGTAGCTGAGTGGCGACTGACAAATCGCTGGACTATAACAGTGGCATATGTCTCGGATGGTTCAGGCCAACAATCTGATGGGCCTAGAGGGCGGAAGTCCTGTGTTTAAACACCAGTTAGGTTATTGCGAACACAACCACAGACCCGCAGAATGTACGCCCAATATTTTCCTTTGTGGATTACTTTGCTACACAGACAGTGTATGAATTATATATTATAGAAAGGTAGAATGAGGAGCCGGTATAGCTCAGTCGGTATAGCAACTGGCTACGGGCTGGACGACCAGGGGTCGAAGTTGGAGTCCCTGTAGGGTCAAGAATGTTCTCCACAGGGTCCAGACCGGCTCTGGAGCCCACCGAGCCTACTATCCAGTGGGTACCAAGGACCCTTTCCTGGTGGTAAAGGGGTCAGGGCGTGAAGCTGACCACTCAGCCCCTACTAGTACTGAGGTCAAGAAAACGTGGATCTATCTATACAGCCATTGTCCCATACGCCTTCATGGCGTAGTGCTTAACAACTTGACCTTCTTTTACTGTAGAATGATTGATGAATCATGAATTATAAAGCATTTGGAAGGAAGTGGTCGTGGCCTAATCGGAACCATCACGGAGGGGCTGAACAAAACTACGAACATTCTGTATCCTGACGGAGATTCGAAATGACCCTGTTTTCAACCCTGTCCAGGCGTTCGAATCATTCTGACAGCCACCGTGTTCAGGAAAGCTGAACACCCTGCGAAGCTCCGGTTCCCCAGTGCACTTCACAGCACTGCTTTGTATACAGGCCTGCCAGACCAGCCACTGATTGTACCTCGCCCCAGCTATGGCTCACGTACTTCTGGATTTTTACCGGAGTTAAGAAGGCTGGAGAGTGGAGCACATGAAGAGCCAACACTAAGAAAAAGAACAACAAGGAACTGCCCACTTCCTTTTAATAATAAGAGTTGAGTCAGATCTTCCCATGTCTAAGCATCTCGCTATGAAACCTTACAATATACAAAGACAAAACTACACACAGTCTGCCTCGAATTATGTCTGACCTAGGCTGCTCTGTCCGTGGGGAGAAGCCTCCAGAACCCATTAAAAAGAGCTGTCTTAGACGTTGTGCCCCTTTTGAGAATCGGACCAGGGTCTCCAACCTCTTAGCCAGTCACATGACGTAGAGACTCGTATTAATTACGAGGGAGAGTCAGTAAATAGGTTACAAATTGAAGTAAAACTGCTGTAATGGACGTAATAATTTTCTGTGTGTAACACTAGGTAGCAGCACAGTCCAGCCATAATGCAGCCTCCAATGTTCACATGAAACACCGCCCTAATGCCGCCCTAAGGCAGCCTCCAGTGTTGACATCAAAATTGCACCCTAATGCAATAATGAGCACGCTCAACACATTTCCCTTACAGGTCACTTCCCAAGGCTTTGCCTTCTTTCCAACCCACCATTGCCACAAGAACGAGCGACAACTGGCTGGGAAATTTCACAGCTTAAATATTTCTACCACTGCGTCTCCCCCCTCCCCAGACCGCCTCTGTGGTCAAGTGGTCAGAGGTCAGGGTTTCAATCCCGGCGCTACTAGATTTTCTGAGAAGTAGTGGGTCTGTGAACGCGGTCAACTCAGCCTCATAAGGATAATTGAGGAGATATTTCAAGGAAATAGCGGCTCCGGTCTAGAAAACCGAAATTAACGGCCGTGTGGATTCGTTGAGCTGACCACGCGACACGGTCTATCCGCTAAAGCTGGCACTAAATTCGCCGACAAGCGGCGCTCGCTCGGTCGGTAGAGTTCGCTTGCGGACTAAAACCACGGAGGGAACCTCTCCCTTTCTACCTACACCGAACCTTTATTTTCCATTTCCTAGTCTTTCCTTAAATCCTTCTGGCTTAAAAGAACTACGCAGTTTTCCCTGCTGTCTGCAGATGTCTCCTTACTGGATGCTTCAATGACCACGTACGGAATTCATGTCAACTTCGGCCTTCTGTGACGTCAAAGCTGTTGGTAAAGGGGATTGAGAGAAAGATTGGTTGTGCTAAGGGTCAGGCTAATTACGAAGATTGCTGGCTTCTGGGATATCTAGTTGTGTAACATGACAAACCGTTACCTGCTGTCCCGGTCTGCAGTGTGACTAACATCGCATGGTGTACATACAGTCTGAAGCAGCCCATATCTCAAAGAGATGGGAACTGAAACAACAGAAAATTAATAAATAATCCAAAAATATAATGCAATTAATTAACACATATATACGAAGCGTGTTTGAGAACAAGGTGCTGAGAAGAATATTTTGACCGAAGATAGATGAAGTGACAGGAAGTTGGAGAAAACTACATAAAGAGGAGCTTCATAACCTGTACTCTTGGCCAAGTGTAATTAGATTGATCAAGTTAAGGAGTATGAGATTGGCAGGGCATGTAGGACGAATGGGGAAAAGAGGGATGTATATGGGACACTGGTGGGAAAGCCAGAAGGAAAGATACCACTAGGAAGACCAAGACATAGGTGGGTGGACAATTTTAAAATGGATCAATATTACAGAGATAGGATGGGGTAGCATGGACTGGATTGATCTGGCTCAGGATAGGGACCAGTGAAAGGCTCTTGTGAACCTCCGGGTTCCATAAAATGCTGGAAAGTTCTTGAATAGCTGCACAGTTGGCGGCTTCTCAAGAAGGTCTCATCTCCGTGAAGTTAGTTTTAGTTAGACAGTCAATTAAAAATATGTGAATGCCTGTCGGACTTCAGTGTAGGAATATTTGATTTCAATAAGATTTATTTTCTTTGTCTATACGAAGTGCGACATCAAATCCGAATTCTTCCCGTCTGTCCGCTTATTTTTCCTTCCAATTCTGATTAAATTTGTATTCTCTTTACTTTCTTCGCCCAGAGAAAATGTACCTTGTCGTCAGTGAATTGTTTCTGTGGTGTTTGTAGTTGGCTGGGAATCTAAAATAAGCCTGTTAACCCGTCCACATTACGGCATGGACATGCTGTAAGGGACAACGACGACGAAATCTTAAGTTGGTTTTGAACATGGGGAACTAGAAGGAAAACACGCAAGAGGAAAACAAGTTGAAGATGGTGACAAGTTAGGGAAGTTAAGGCCGCGCCATAGCTCAAGCGGTTAGTCGCTGGCTTCCCACTGCGGCGGCCCGGGTTCGATCTCGGGTCTGGTCAAGTGGGATTTGTGGTGGGGGCAGGTTTTCTCCGAGTACTTCGGTTTCCCCTACCAATCTTGATTCCACCAATTGCTCCACAATCACCCTCACCTATCATCTGGGGCTGGTACAATAGGCCAGAAGTGGCCGCAGTACAAGGGACTTAGTCCCACCCCACTAGCAATAAGAAATAGGGAAGTTATGAAACAGAGCAAGGACACGGGCAGAAATACAGGAGAAAATGGAAGCATATATGGAGGAGAATTGTGGACAAAATGGTAATGTCCGAGCTTCGTTGCTAGGCCATTCACGTTTTGTGGAAACATCAAAGCAAGGAGGAGGAAAATTTGCCGATGTTGTCATACCTCAGATGTAAAGAAGTGGTCATGGCACAATTTAAACTACAATATTGGCATTTTCCTGAATTGACTTGAGGTAATCCACGAGATATTCCAGTCAGCAGGATAGTCTGTGTTCCGGCCAAGAGTAACAAGCCAAGCGTTACACCCGAGATAACTTGCCCATTGTCTCTGTTCATATCAAGTGTATCTCGTCTGAATGGAGCCCATGCAGCATCTGTATCTCATGCCAGTTCAGTTCGGTCCTGAAGGATATTCCAGATGTAAAGAATTTCCAAACCGTTAAGTTTCATGTCCAAGAGGTAACAGCATAAACAGGAATCCTCTTTCAGTTTCATATGTGAAACGAGAAGTACGTACGTAGCATTCAGATGAATGATTGAGACCACGCGAGCAGTGTTCTGTTCATGATAAACTGTACTCCAAAACAATGTTCTATTCATGAGAATGCTGTAAACCAGAACATTTTTGCCTTTATGATAATGTACTGCAGAACACTGTTCTCTTCGTGAGAATGCTGTAAACCAGAAGATTTTTGTCTTCGTGAGAATGCTGTACTCCAAAACAATGCTCTATTCATGAGAATGCTGTAAACCAGAACATTTTTGTCTTTATGATAATGTTGTACTGCAGAACAATGTTCTCTTCGTGAGAATGCTGTAAACCATAAAGGTTAGAGAGATAAAGATTCATACTGCCATACTTTCCGTTATGTAACCGATCTGCCTACCCCAGCTCGATTTAATTCGGTAGAATGTTTGGATTCGGGTAAATCAACCTGTTCGTTTAGGTTTATTTATAACCTACAGTAAATGGATGAGAGGTACGTAGGCTATTTCTTGCCCTCAAGAAGGAGTTTTAGCCCAAACTCTCCAATGAAAAAGACAATAGAAAAACGACTGGTCAAGGCAGATGCGAAACGAAAGAGGAAGACCCCCCGGCAGCTTGGTTCTTTAGAAAGTCACACAAAATTTTACTTGTCTGAATCCTTGGAGAACACAATAAGTGACATTTTCGAACCCATAACTCAAAAGATGGGTGGTCTCCCAACCCCAAGCCAAGCATAACATTTGTCAAGCTACGACAGATTTTATGTTAAGTTTCAGCGCCTCAATTCCCTGTAATACGTAAAAGGATTGGGGGAATACTTAATTAGTGTACTCCCATTTTTTGAAAATGACCAATCCTTGTAATTTCTGGAGTTCACTTGTGGACCGAGACGACTCCGAGGGTTGCGAGGAGAAGGCATTCTAGGAGTCTTATTCAAAATACCAAACCATTCGGACGCAAATTCTGCAAGGAGTCTTACTCTAGATCGAAAACTATTAGGACGAAAATTCGAAAAGAGAAGTCATTGGAAGGAGTCTGGTTCAAGATCGGAAACCCAGCGGACACCATTTTAATGTAGTGCGTTAGTGGGGTTCACTATGGACAAGAGTTTAATAAAGTGTCTGGTGGAACAAAGTGTGTGTGTATTGTAACAGGAGTTCCCACTTCCCTTCCTGAGTGAGACCCTGCCAAACAGCCTNAGGCAGTCAGAGCGTGACGCTCAACGTAAGGGCTCGACGACGATTAAAGTTATGACACTTTGTTGTCTGGTATGTGATTTCCAATGTTTCGGAGGAACAAATTGGCCCCATCTTCATGGAAGAATTGAGCCATTGACAGTGGCTGCAGTCCCGTTGACTCACCTCACTCGTCCAGTATTTACGTGGTATCCGGTCAGTGTGACTCTCGGCAACATTCTGATATGGGCGTACAGCTGGGCACCGGCGTTTCTTATTCACCTTTGTGCTTCTTCTCTGAGCTGAGGAAGAATCTGTCCGTGAATCTGTCCGTGAATGCACTGACGAGTGCCCTGCACAGTCCATGTATCTATTCCTCTCTTTGACTACGAATTTTCTTATGGTTTATTTAACAGCGTGGGCAGCAGTTAGAGCACATAGACATCATCACTGGCAAAACAACCCTTTTTTTAGCTATTGCCTTCCTTAGAAGATTTTGCCAGATTTTTCCGTTCCTGGGAATTAGACCACCCAGCTTTCACTTTCGATTTCACAACAGTAAGTTTTTAAAAAGAAAGGTTGTCATCCTAGCGTCCAAATCCCAACCTGGAGGACCAGGTCTCTGTATTTGTCCCCCAGTGAGAAGGTGACCCAGTTATACCCCGAGGTACTGGGTTCCCTTTTCGTAACTTTCTGCGGCTCGCTGGGAGGTGGGCGTATTTAGAGTATATAGAGTCGAATTTTAATATTATTATTGAGCGATTAGAATGGAATTGCTGCAGATAAGAATAGGGTATCCCAGAATTAAATTAAAAAGAGTAGCTCTTTCACCCAATTTGCTGGGCCCTTGCCTCTTTCCTTCACTTTTCCCAACTAATATTCGTTACGTATAATCATCTCCTCATGCGTGCTCAAGTCCCTGCCCATCTTCTCTTTCTTTGCTTCCACCAAAATTATAGTGGTAGCGCCGAATTCCAAAACGCCTTTACTTGCGCTGTGACGTCTCCGCTGTCCAGGCAATCCAGGCATGGAACTGCTGTTGTCAGTTTCTGTTTTCTGCAGAGGTGCGGCTTGGGAGGACGCCTTCCTGAACGCGGTGGGCCGAGCTGAAGACACCCACGCGTTTAGGCACATCTCCACCGCCAGGTTCGCGAGTCGAACCCTGGACATCGAACTGGAGCGTAACACGCGGACCGTGGTTCCCTACTTCAGCACAACGTTCCTCATCATGGCGGCCTTCTCCATCACATCCTGCTGGATGGCCGACTGGGTCCGTGCCAAACCCTGGCTGGGTCTCTTGGGGAACATTTCGGCATGCATGGGCACTGCTGCCGCGTTCGGCGTCACCATGTACCTGGGCATTGAGTTTATCGGCATCAACCTCGCGGCACCCTTCCTCATGCTAGGTAAGTGGATCACTTATAGCAAACTTCCTTACGCTCCGTGAGTTGATGAACCTTGCGGCACTCTTCCTCATGCTAGGTAAGTGGATCACTTATAGCAACCTTCCTTACACTCCGTGAGTTGATCAACCTTGCGGTACCCTGCCTCATGCTAAGTAAGTGGATCACTTATAGCAACCTTCCCTACANTTTCGTAACTGGATCAGCCTCGTACGCATTAACTTTCCCTGTTTTCTCCCTGTTCCTTTCCACACCTACATGTTATCGAACGATGCGTCGAGGCCGACTTCTAACGCCATCTCCCACGAATGACATTCTCAAATAATCAATCTTGAACAGTCTCATTTATGTTGTCACTTGTATGAGTTACTATAGACGGGGTTTGGTCACTCGATTTATTGGCCACTTATANCACGCTCTGTAACTCTATCAACCTTGAGGCACCCTTCCTCATGCTAGGTAAGTGGATCACTTATAGCAACCTTCCCTACACTCCGTGAGTTGATCAACCTTGCGGTACCCTGCCTCATGCTAAGTAAGTGGATCAGATTCATAGCAACCTCCCTCACGCTCTGTAACTGGATCACCCTTGAGGCACCCTTCCTCATGCTAGGTAAGTGGATCACTTATAGCAACCTTCCCTACACTCCGTGAGTTGATCAACCTTGCGGCACCCTTCCTCATGCTAGGTAAGTGGATCACTTATAGCAACCTTCCTCACGCTCTGTAACTCTATCAACCTTGAGGCACCCTTCCTCATGCTAGGTAAGTGGATCACTTATAGCAACCTTCCCTACACTCCGTGAGTTGATCAACCTTGCGGTACCCTGCCTCATGCTAAGTAAGTGGATCAGATTCATAGCAACCTCCCTCACGCTCTGTAACTCGATCAACCTTGCGGCACCCTTCCTCATGCTAGGTAAGCGGATCAGACTCGCAGCAACCTCACGCTCCGTGAGTTAATCAACCTTGCGGCACCCTTTCTAATGCCAGGTAAGTGGATCAAACTCATAGCAACTTCCCTCACGCTCCTTGAGTGGATCAACTTTGCGGCACCCTTCCTCATGCTGAGAAAGTTGATCAACTTTAGGAAATATTCCCCATGCTTCGTAACTGGATCAACCTCAGGGACTCTTCCAGTTTCGTCGCCTGATGATGTAGGACTTCGTATGCATTAACTTTCCCTGCTTTCTCCCTGCTCCTTTCCACACCTACATGTTATCGAACGATGCGTCGAGGCCGACTTCTAACGCCATCTCCCACGAATGACACTCTCAAATAATCAATCTTGAACAGTCTCATTTATGTTGTCACTTGTATGAGTTACTATAGACGGGGTTTGGTCACTCGATTTATTGGCCACTTATACACACGACTCGGAACTACATGCAGTTACAGCGTCAATGCTAACCTCCACAGTTTACAAAACACTGACGTAATCACTAAGTCTTCTCCAGCCTGCTGTCTTCACTAGACTTTTCCTAGCAACGGCTTCTAACAGTGGATATTCTTCAGCTTCATGCGCTCAGGTTTTCATTCACAGACTCCAGTGTATAATTGCCTATCAACTGACTTTGTCCCTTGCTTATAACATCTCAGCGTGGACCACGCAGAAACACCCCGTTTCCAACAATACTTCGATTGTTGCATGCGTGTTCGTTGCCGCGGGTACGTGTTTACCGAGCCGTTGCCTAGAAATGGCTTGGTATATTTGCAAATCTCGCTGTCGTTACATAGAAGCGGCTCCACAAGTCACAAATTGGTGAACTACACTTCACATGTCCACACTAAAACACTATCAATATTTACAGAATACACACGACACACTGGAACAAAGGACTACTCACTCGTGTGTGAGCCACTGCTTGATTTATCTTCTTGCAACTTGTTACCACACGTCAGTTTTTTGCTGTGGTAACCTGAAATTGAGGCATTTCAGAGCCTTCATTTCATCGTTACGTGACGAAACACGCCCCTATTTTTTGGGTACTTCGAACCTGAAAGCGTAAGCATAAACTTTACGTTGATAATATGATAGAAACGCCTTAATTCGAAATTGATTTCTTTGTGAAGGGGTTATGTTATGACTTTGTAAATAGCTAGACAGTATATCGTGGAATGGTAGTATGACATGAATTGGAAAACATTTGGAAAGTGTTTGTGGTCTATTCGAGGTACTACTCCATTATTTGCCTGGATAGACTGAGGAAATCCACGCAAACTCATCCACGATAACCGAAGCCGCAGCTGAGACACAAACCGATCACCTTCCGAATACGACTCTAGAGCATTACCGCTAAGCTAGCCCTCATCGTGATTTATGTTTTGGCTTTGTGAGTATTATGATTCGCCTATGAGACTACGGGATAAGCCAGAAGATCACAATAGGGAGAACTGAACATCACCCTTTGCGAACTCAACAAAAGAGCCCATTTTCTTTCAATATGAAATATTAATACCAGTGAAGAAGAAATAGGCCCCACGCAAAAGCAGTATGATATGTGATAAGATGAATAACTTTTAAATTTTCAAAGCAGAGATTATAGCATGGAGTTTATTTAAAACGCTGGATGTCTTAACCTGTCGCATTGAACATGATGACAATTTTAATTAATAACGATTGCGTCCAGCGCATTGATACGCAGAGCCCGTTGCGCGCGCATGTGAGCGGAATATCGAATCAGTGAAACCGAAACAGAGTGCGCATGCTCATATGTAATGTTGCAGAGAAACCTATATATGCATTTTACAATAGTACTGGATGTGTTGCAAACACGATACTCTAACTGTTGCGCCAGGTTAGTCTGAATACAGGTTTAATGTTGGTGCTTAGTGCCGCACGGTTTTAACTCCATACTTTCACATTATTTGAAGACGTAAAAACAACATAAAGTAGGTTAAATTATCTGACAACATTCCGTTAGTTTTTAATCTATGTTAACTGTTTACAGTGAATGGTCATGCAATATGGAGGAACCCTAAGGGCCCTATGTGACCCTCGAAATTACTTACATAAGTGCAGCAATGCATATGTAATTTGACAGGAAGCTCTGCGAACAAATTATGTGGTTTAACATCCGTCACATTCTGCAGTGCATTAAGTAATGGTTTCAGGTACTATAAACGAAGAATTATACTATTTGAAGAAAATTATCTTCTATTCTGAGGATGGAAGCAGCAGGTTACTCTGAAACGTTATTACCTATCTACCAAATTGAGCCATATTCCTGATATGTTCAGAAGAAAAGAGACAGAAAATTTCAATTATCTTCAAAGGTGTAAAACTTATGGAGAAAGTGTTTTGGGCTTAAAATGTGTGTTATACTCGTATTTGCTAGAAACGCTTTTCTCTGTGATAAATATTTAACGAGATATGCAATGAAACGCATACAGGTCTCCTTTTAAAGCCGTCGTTAAACATGTCCAGTCTGATTGAAAACTGTAAGGCCTTGAATATTTTCCGTAAAATTCTTCAGTATCACTTCATGAAAATCCATCCAACGTTTCTCGAATTCCTTTGTGCGTATTGACGGACTGGTTAGACGTTCCACAGAGTTGCGAACGCGCCTAAAAACGGTAGTCGTGCATAGCGGCAGAGGACACATCTTAGATAGATTACAAGAACTAAAAATTATTTTTCGACGTAATACGAATACATAGTCCTATTAATGAAATACAGGTCAACATACAGGGTGATGCATTTACAAATGCATTCCAATAGAAAACATATTTATAACCCCGTGTACGGTAGCTAACGCATATAAATCCATAATTATGCAGTTCTGCTCCTTACTGGAACTTCGAGAATGGGCTGTTGGATTGTGCTTGATGGCACTGCCCATCGTACAGCTCGGACAACAATGAACACGCTGTAGGGATTTTTTAAGAAACAGGGTTCAGATCTCCGGATGTGCCGACCCTTGCACATTTTTACTGGGCCTTTAAAAATACACATGTACTGAAACCATCCAAGAAGCGTAAGGAAGTGAATGGTGGAAAAATCATCAGCATCAGAACAATAACTCTTGAGCATGTCTCTGCCAGGAACGTGCTGCATATATTCAGAACAATGCAGAACACTTCCAGTTTTTGTGTGCATTCATTTGTGTTTCGTTTTCAGTGACATATTAAATGTAATGTTTTAAATGGATCTCCCTTCAGCTCACGCCGTTTAAAGTGTGACAATCGTACTCTTCTGCAATGATGCTGAGGCAGTTAAGTGCATTATTTTGCAGTCCGTACGCGGTCATGGAAAATGACGTGCGTAGCCAGACGGGACTACAATTGTATGACGCGTTTTTAACCACGTTTGCATGGCTCAAGGTCTCCTGCAGACGAAAGCATCGTCATCCAGTTTAAGTTGGCGTTTCTTTTTCTCAGACTAAACTAAACTAGAAAAGCTAAATTCCGTGGCTTGAGTCCTCAAGCGAAATATACCGACCGAGTGACCGCCGCTTGTCGGCGAAGTTAGTGCCAACTTTAGAGGGTAGAGAGTGTCGCGTGGTCAGCGCAACAAATCCCCACGGCCGTCAATTTCGGTTTTCTAGACCGGAGCCGCTATTTCCTTGAAATGACTCCTCAGTTATCCTCACGAGGCTGAGAGGACCCCGTTCCAGACACACTATTTCTCAGAAAATCTGGTAGCCTCAGGAATCGAACGCGGGACCTCTGGATCTGTAGGCAGGAACTGTGACCCCTAGACCACAGAGAAGGAACTTTCTCTCAGACTAGTGCGAAAATATCTGTTTCAAGTTGCCAAATTTGTAGACCGCTAGAATACTTCCTTTTAATATTCAGAAGTTTACAGACAATTAACTAACTGATGAGCAGACTGTTGGACCTTCCGTGCAACTCAGAAAAATGTTCAGGGCACCCTTTTCGGTTGTGCATGAAACACAGTGCAACTTGGATAATCCGAACTGCGTGTAATTAGAGCACTGGTGCTTTCGGACTGTCGAAACGTTCATGTTACTGGGTTTCAAATAAAAACTTCGAAATCTTAGTAAAATTAGTTATTCAAAAGATTTACAGGTACATTTTATAGTATATAAAGAAGGACCTGAACCCGCGGACGTTCGGCTACACGCCGGGCTAGGGGAAAGCGGTAACCGGGTTACATCTTCCATCGCCCAGAGAGGCCGTTCCATTAACACATATCATGTTTCGCAAGAATTCATTTTTAATGAAAATAAGTAAAAAAAAAATATATTACATTTGTCTTTTTATGTGCCGGTTTATTTTTTATGCTGTTGTAAGTCAGTAGGAGCCGGGATAGCGTAGTCGGTATAGCGACTGGCTGCGGGCTGGACGACCGAGGGGTCGCAGATCGAGTCCCGTTAGGGGTAATAATTTTTTATTTTCCACGCTGTCCAGACAGGCTCTGGGGTCCATCCAACCTCCTATCCAGTGGGTCTTGGGAGGATTTTTCCCCGGGGATAAAGCGACCGGAATCTGACCACCTCCAGCTAGTGCCGAGGTCAAGAAAATGTGGATGTATGTATCCACTCCCCATACGCCTTCATGTCGTAGTGCTTAATGAGTTAAGCAGAGGGTAACATTACGTTCACCTTACTACGTGTATAAGTCTATTCGGATTATAGACGCTCCACTATATGTATTTCCCATTCTGTAATCTTTCACAGACCAAAAGATGAATCATTCATTTTCTTCGCCTTCTGTGTTTTTGACGTGAAACCACAAATCAACAAACTCCACCTATGAAATCCGTCTCTATGAGTGTGTGGCATGTTTCCTGCTAATGCAGTAAAGGAACCGCGCAGGGACGTGAAGATTTCGTCCTTATGGCCACCGCGTCACCTCACCTCACATCCGCGCTCGCGTGGGGAAAACGTTAAGCCTCTGCCTGCAGCTGAAATGCTGCAGGAATTTCTTATGTCTGTCATTTGGGTGAACATTTAGATTCTTGTCTAAGTAAACTAGGGCAGTGTATCATGTGTCATGTTTATGAGCAACTCTCTCTAACAAAATTCGCAAGACTCCGCATGAGCCTTGAGCTGATATCTTAATTTTCATTCAAAGCGCATTTGTCTGACATAACCTTGTATAGAAGTCATTATTACTAGTGCACTGTTTGCAAGTAAATTGCAAATTACAACTTATCATAATCAGTCTTTTAATCAATTAATGGTCATATTGTCCAACATATTCTAGTCCAGCATCACCAAAACATCATGCCATAAGGCATGGTCAGACAGACGCCAAAAGACATACACTTTGTAACCTGAGTAATACAAAGTAATGTGTCCCTCAACGCCCATTTTCAGGAAACTGGGTTTGAAGTTAGGGAAACAACTGCAGTTTAAATATGACTTAGAACAAAACACACAACAAAATTCCACACTTGCAACTAAGGTAAACTTATGGAAATACGAGGCGTATCCACAAAATAAGTTCCGTTTGCAGATATTGCCGCTGCAGCGCTGCGGTCACTATGGTGCGCATGCGCGCAGAAATTTTTGGTCCTTTTGAAAGGCACGGACGCCATTTTCAGACAATCGAACGGCGTTTACCTATCATCTTGTGTGTTTACACTGTTCAAGAAAATCGAGAAGCCCCCGTGGAGATGTATGTGGAGAGTGCAAAAAAGTACGGGGAACCAGGAAAGTGAATTGGCTAATTTTCGACCAGAAGCGGAGACAGGGCACTCCAGGAACTCAATTTTCATATTTTGTTACCATATATCACTCTGGGTTTAAATGTCCATATTATTTTAAGCATAAATATGTAAACATTTTAAATAACTACTGTAAATCTCATGTGACGTTTCATTTTACTATTGTATGAACGTCGGGCATTACCTTTGTATATTGATGAAAGGACTGGTTACATAGTACCTTTGAATTCAAAAAGGCCTAAATCCCTGAAATATCTTAAGCTGCATAACATATAAAAATCTCTTCCACCCTGAAGATAATGGAAACAAGTTCCTCCGAAACGTCCGGAAAGGCCTACCAAGGTACAAGGGACCTGTATGCTACAAGGCAATAATCTTCAAACACATCTCTCTGGGAGCATTATGTATTTCCACGGTTTGCATTGTGGCTTTCAGAATGGCTGATCCCCAGCCATGAGGTCTTAACAGCTTACCCGGAATCGCAAATAGCAGTCCTTTGTGGGAAATACGTCACAGCTCACAAGCTTAAGATACTGCCTGGCCTTGTGGAGATTAAAATGTCATAACCGTCTTTACAGAAGCTCGCCAGTGGAATCCGCTTGCGTCTGTCTGCCTTGGTGTTAGACTATCAGCTCCTATTACGTGACTCTTAGTTGCTGGCTAGGCAGTCAGCCATGTGAGTTGTACATACATGATTTGGCAGATCTCAATCAGTTTATCGACCAGTACGTCTGTCGACCAGTCTACCAACAGGATCTATATCGAATCAATCAGTATGTTGGATTCCAGGATCCCAAGGAGGGGTCTATCATAGTGCAACATCGGCTACTGGGTTGTAACGGTGTATAGTTGGCCGCGCCATAGCTCAAGCGGTTAGTCGTTGGCTTCCCATCGCGGCGGCGGCTCGGGTTCGATCCTGGGTCTGGTCAAGTGGGATTTGTGGTGGACAAAGTGGCCCTGGGGCAGGTTTTCTCCGAATACTTCGGTTTCCCCTGCCAATCTTCATTCCCCCAATTGCTCCACGATCACCCTCACCTATCATCTGGGGCTGGTACAATAGGCCAGAAGTGGCCGCAGTACAAGAGACTTAGTCCCACACCACTAGCAATAAAAAAAAAAGAAACGGTGTATAGTTCGGAGATAGCCTGACGTTTCGGGAGAACATATCGCTTCAATTTTAAAGGTCGAAGAGTAAGTTCTGTATGGAAACAAGAGCTTGCTGTATGCTTCTGATAGTTTCTTGCTTGGCTTACTCTTCTACCCTGAAGATGGAGGCAATATATTCTTCCGAAATGTCAGGTTTTCTCCGAACTGCGTGGTGTTATAACCTAGAAGATGCTGCTCTTCGCAAACAGTAAGGTAGGCCACACACTGGCATGCGTCAAGCGAGACATGAACAGTCAAGATACGATGTTTGCGACATGACGCAAAGAAAGGAGCACAGTTGAAACGAATGAGATTATGAAAACCGCCGCACACCGGTCTGAGTCATGATGCTGACGAATCACGAATGAAGCAAGACTGCGTCTTTTGTCTCATGTCTTGATGCTCCTCTTGACGCAGTTGTTGTGCGGTCGCCCTACGTTTGTCTAGCAGTCAGTCTGTCGGTTAATTAGAAGAGTACTCACAGATACCCACCGTTTGTGGGGCTGTCAAAGACGCTTTCTGATCATTATGTTGTCTGCTCGCAGGTATCGGCATTGATGACACGTTTGTGATGCTTGGCGCCTGGAGAAGGACGTCGGTACATTTGCCTGTGCCGGAGCGGATGGGCCGAATGTTAAGCGAGGCAGCCGTGTCGATCACCATCACCTCGGTCACCGACATGATCAGCTTCTGGATAGGAATCATCAGCCCGTTTCAGTCCGTCCGCATATTCTGCATCTACTCTGGTGAACACTGGCGATCATTCTTCTTCTTCTTCTTCTTCTTCTTCTTCTTCTTCTTCTTATTATTATTATTATTATTATTATTAGTATATTATTACTACTATTATTACTATTATTTGTTTCCTAATGTATATAATTTAGGAATTCTGCATTAGCTGTCCCTATTATCGCCCTCCCTCGCCTCGTTTACAATGTTATTACTGATTGCAGGAATGTGAAGTCAGGAGACTGGGGTGGCCTCCAACAACATAACCTTTATAAAAAAATGTGAAAATTCATCACTTTTTCGAAAGGGGGATACGTGGTGTTATTACGAGCCTAAGCTTGTTCCTTAAGAAGAGGAAAATAATATGCAAATACGTCCACGAACGTGTATTTCTGTTTCGGTAATACTTTACATTAATGGGACACACACTTCACAAGAACAACATTTAGAACACACAGCTGCCATCTGTGTATATGAGTAAAAACTACATGTTATGTAGCATAACACACACACGGTCATCCTTAAACCGTATCCTTTCATATACATAAATACTAAAACGTCTTGAATCACCGCCAGTTCAACATAGTTTGTAATGATAATGATGCAGAGTGTCGACTTATGAATGTTTATTTTATTCCGCCTCCACAGTACAAACTATGGACACGCCATATATTCATGTTTATTACAACATGTTTCGGTTCATTCAGCCATCATCAAGCATTTGATTCATCTGCATTCGTCTGCTAGAGTTCCTGCATATTGGAATATTGCTTTTTGATGATATGTAATGCCGTTATTTATATAAAAAGTTGCGTTCTCCTCTAAACACTGGCCAATGTAGGAATACAGACGAATACTCAAATACCTGATGATGACTTAACGAGCACAAACATGTGAGAAATTACGAACTAACAGTGTGTTCATACCTTCTATTGTAGTGACGGAATAGAGTAAAGAAATTTCACACACAAAGTATGACGCTAAAAATGATATTTCATATTTAGCAGAGCTGAAACACCCAGATGTACTGGATAGTAGAACAGTTTTTCCTTCGCATGGGTGTAAAACATGGCCCCCTTCTCTGAGGAGAGAACGTGTATTTGCAAACAAAGGGCTCGGGGACATGCATGGACCTAAGAAGGGCGTAGGAACTGAGAAATTTGGATATTACAAAAACGTGATGATGAACTTCGTGTTACACAGGTCAGTTACAAGGGGCACGCGGTAGCGTAGTTAGTCGACGCACTGTGCTACAAGTCGGAAGGTCGCGGTTTCGACCCCCCGTTGAGGTCATCGGATTTTTCAATTGACCTAATCCTTCCAGCCGCACTATGGCCCTGGGGTCGATACAGCCTTTAACAGAAATGAGTACCAGAAATCTTCCTGGGCGTAAAGGGAGGCCGGCGCATAAGGCTGACAACCTCACCGTCATCTGTGAGCTGATTATCTAGAAAAATATGGGAACCTCGACGTCTCACAACTCTGTGGGCCTCCACGGCCTGTTACAGGGATAGATTTACCTTTTACAGGTCACCTACTGTTGCTTTTAAGCAAATCTAGACGGTTATGAAGGTGTGGTTATGATGAGGAGGACAGAAAACTCAAACATACAGAATTTTGGATGGGAAAACTTCTGAAAAAAGCCCGAGAAGTTGATGGGGGAATAACTCGAAGATGGATCTTTGGGAAATAAATTGCAAAGGTTGGAGGCGGATAAAATTGCCCCAGTGAGCGATTGCGTATTAGCGCAGATGAACGTTCGTCGTGTTACCAAACCAGCGAATCAATGCAAATTAAAGACAAAACGTTCAGAAGTTTAATGACGGGAAACAGAAATGCGATGTTACTTCTTCACGACAAACCACTAGTAAATAGCGTTTTCCTTCCAAGTTCCTTCCAGTTCATCTGTCGATCTATCATTGGACATGTAGAGTCGAAGCACTGACAGCCTCAAGAAATAACCCTCATAAATTCAACAGTTAACACTTATCACTGAGAATTCTTTACATTCCATGTTCCATGTCTGCTTTATTTCTAAGGAAGGATCTGTCTATATTCTGACATCCCTTCCATTAATGGAAATACATCAAATACACATATTATGTACTTAATCATTATATACTGTAGATTTTGTTTTTATTTATCTTCGTCATTTACATGAAAATGATTGCATCACGTTACCGGTTCAAGAGGAATTATGGAGGCAGAAACGATTAACTTGTCCCTGTGCTTAATTAATTAAGCATCATGCCATGAAGACTTATGGGGAGTAGAGATATAGCTCCATGCATCTTGACCTCGGCACTAGATGGAAGCGAACAGTCGGCATTAGTTTAATCCCCAGAGAAAGAGCCCCCGGTAACGATTGCGTAAGAGGCTTGGTGGGCCCCCTTGTACAAAGTCATTGGCTAGAGTGAACCTCTTATTGCGGGAATGTTCACAAGAACTGTGAAGAGATTCAGGAGTCCTCTGCGACGTCACAAGTCGTTACAATATTAATTGAAACCTTCAGATAGATGTTTCACATCTCATACAGACTAGATGACCGAGGGATCAAGGGCCGATTCCACACAGGGACAAGATATTTTTTCTCTTATACACAGCATCCCGACCGGCTCTAGGACACTCACTGGAGATCCTGCGGACAACCTCTCTTCGGGGTTAAAGCAGCCGGAGAATGGAACTGGCCAGTATCTAGTGTCGAGGCTAAAGATGCATTTAACTTATACACCTCCAATTACCCATCTCTTAATTGTGTGGTGCTTAATTAAGCACAAATTACTCTCACTTTCTTACTGTTATTACTACCTTATTCTGCATGTGAAACAGTGTGGTTTGGTAGATAGGCATAAAGACTCTTTCCTACTCTGAAGTTATGTGCGAAATTTTGTTATCTACCAGAGTACATGGCGTCACATCCCAGAAGACTCTAATTTTGTTGTCCACTGTCGTAAATCTTCAGATCTTCTAGTGTTTTATAGTTGTGTATGACATAATGTTATTTTTGCAAGTATTAAAGGGACCGCTAGTTGCAACAACCCTAACCTCATGTGTCTATTGAACGCTCACTCACATGTTCTCAACTAAAGTAGGTCACACAAGACTTACAGGTTGCGTCGTATTAACTGCAGAACAAAAAGAATAAACTTCTACTAATGATCTACCATCTAGTACAGTGTGATTGGTACACAACCCTCAAAAAACTTAAAAGAAAGTACAGTAATAGTTAAGACTTATACGTCCTACTAAAGAAATAGCGATTTTAAAGATACAAGAGCCGGTCACGGTATCCGAGCGGTCTAAGTGCATGCACTGTCTTTGCTCGCTTGGAAACCGGGATCGTGGGTTCGAATCCCACTCAGGGCATGGACGTTTAGTTTGTGTGTGTGTTTTTCTGTGTTTGTGTACAGGTAGAGGCCTTGAGACGAGCTGATTACCCGCCCAAGGAGTCCTACCGAATGTGTAAGATCTAGAAAAACCGAAGTGAACGGAGAAGTTCATGGAGGTAGGCCTAGGCCCACTGGGGCTGTAGTGCCGAGGGGAAAAAAAAAGATACAGGAAAATGAACTTATTTCGTTATGAATTGTCTAACAATATAAACATTCTCTATTCATTGAAAACTCGGCCGCTTATAGATCGGATTGTACTTCCGGTCACAGACAGATGGGGCTGAACTGACCAACTTAACAATTACTGTATGGTTTAGAATCACTCCAGAAATCCCACTGTTTTGAAGAACCCGAAGATTCATAACCACGTTAAAAACAGCAGCCACATGAATTCATTTCGACTCCTCTCGCCCTACTGCTGTGAGAATATATTTTTTTTTCAATATCCACCTGTCATCTACGTCTTGGCCTCTCAAGAGGTCCCTTCCCTTGAGATTTCAACAGAAATGTTGAACATATATTGGTAGCACCTCTGGGCGAGACATGCCCCTCTTCAAGGAAACCGACCGACCTGAAGACACTGTATTTTACTGCAGATACCGTTCAGGATGCAACAACAGACGTCTCGTAACGAACCTGAAAGCCCCTATGACTCCGCTGACCACTGTCTAGCGTGACGTCACGCCGTGGTAGAGTGGCAGACGTTTCTTCCGAATGAAAAGAAGAAAGCAGATTACTTCGAAACGTTCGTAAATGTTCACCAGATCGTATGTCGTCACTCCGAAACGTCAGTAAATATTTATCAGACTATACGGAATCACGTCCCCAAGTTGCCCTTGTAAGAGCCTGTTCCTCCTCTGTTTTGAAAACGGAAGCAACTGTTTCGTCCGAAACGTTGGTAAATGCCCATCATGATAAAGGACGTCACGTGCCTGAAGACAGCAATCTTCATTGTCACCGACTTGAAGATGGAGGCAGTAGGTTCTCCGAGGCATCACATCCGATAATCATCATAGTCACAGCTACCACCTTGAAAACCACAAATCTCGCTCTCTTAAGCCGTTGTAAGAAATCTTGCGGAATACATAAGCAGACGTGACCGCCACAGAAAACCAGTTTCTCAACTTCTGAGCTCGATTTAATCGGAGAAATTTCTCTCATTTTCCAGGTTTCGCTGTCTGCTTCACCTTTATATGGCACCTCACATTCTTCTCCGCGTGTGTCGCCCTTGCAGGACACGCCGAGAAGGAAAACCTCCACTCCGTGATTTGCCTAAAGGTCAACCCCGTCTCCAAGTCCGGTAAGTGTTTATCACTCTACCTTCTAATTAATTGCTTAATTATATACGATCAATTGCAGCTAAATTATCTATTGTTGTGTATTTTTAACCGCGCTTACGTGCAGTTACTATTCTGAACTTGTAATCACAAAATGGTCCATTGTCTGAGACCAATCATCAAAACAAGGTACGGCCTTCATTCAGGATAATGACTTCCTGGTGATAATAATGTAATCCACTGGCGTGAAAGTAAGCCAGAAGGTAGAAGAATGGAAGTATTTGAAGATACACAAAATGATTTACAAGAGCCGAAAGTGAAGAAGTGGACGAAAATTTCACGTACTAGAAAAGATTGGCGTCTCCTGCAGAGGAAGTCAGGGTTCTTACAGGACAAGCAGAACCAAGGAATTTGTCACTGATTTAGGAGAAACACGTCAAACTTTGTAATATAACATGTTTAGTATTACTACACTCTTAAATTAGCTATAAAATTCGGTATTACGTCACAATTCTCTATCGAATTATCCATAAACGAAAAGTGAACATATGTAAGACACTGGAAAACCAACAAGAACAAAGAACAACAAAATGCCATGACATCAAAGAACTGAATAGTGCGAAAAGGGCAGTGGTTTCAATGTTAATTCCAATTCTAACAACAAATTTTAATTGTAATTATAAGATTAAATAATACTAACACAGAAACTGAGCGGCCTCCGTAGTCTAGAGGTAACGTTCCCACCTCATGACTCGTAGTACGCGGGTTCAAATACCCGGCGGAGGTCGTCGAATATTTAAGGGCGGAAAAATTCAGGGAACAAGTCCTCCGGGAGGGACTTTAAGCCGTGGGTCCCGTGTCGTAGCTTTACGGCACGTAAAAGACCTCATATCTCCAAAGGAGGTCACTGAGCCAAATTAACGGACGTTTCCCGCCCAACAGCAGTCTCTAATACCTCTGGTAGATGGGGGAAGCATTATAGATACCTCTCAGCTAGTAGAGCCGGTCTCGCTGGCTGGGCGGGACTGATGGTAAGCACCAGTACCGGTAGGATATAGAGACTGGTAGAAATCATAGAGGGAAGCACAATGGACCAATACAGGTCTCAGTGCATGGGGAAACCCACCCTCTCCAATAACTAACTAACTAACTAACCAACTAACAAACACAGAAACTGCAACGAATTTTAACTCTACTGACAGTTATCACTAGCATGTACGGTTACCGGGCTGTGTATTGCGTGGGGACTGGAAACGGTGTACTACTAAGTGCCTACAGGTGTACAGTTAGTGTACATGACTAAATAAAATTGCACAGGCTTTGATAACCACATAAGTCTTGTGCAGAGAACGATGGAAATATAATTATTTTGGGTTACAGTGTTTAGTAACATTCCATTGCAAAACAATTTTAAGAATTTAAGAATTTACGACGTTCGTTTACAGAAATATATACCTTATGTACTGTGAAAACGTCGTATTTGGGTTCCCAGACGTTTTTCCAGCTAGAGGACTTAACGTATGTCTCAGCTCCCCATGTGCAGTGAATTTGGTCGAGTCCACTGACTGAGATAAGGACTGTAGGGTGTTAATTTTTTGTTATTGCTAGTGGGGTGGGACTAAGTCCCTTGCACTGCGGCCACTTCTGGCCTACTGTAGCAGCCCCAGATGATAGGTGAGGGTGATTGTGGAGTAATTGGTGGAATGAAGATTGGCAGGGGAACCGATGGTGGCCAATGATGGCCACCATCGGAAGGTGACCAACACTTCAAAGGAAATGCTTTACATGCAGTTACTTGCATGTGTTGATGTGTAAGGGTTAAACATTAATATTTAAAATAAATTTCGCTAAAAGTAAAGAATTTTCGATTGAGTAGACTGTAAACTGAGTATCCTTTTCCAAGCCAAGTCTAAGAAGTAGGTCGAGTTCCTAAAGATGAAAGACGCTAATGCCAGATTGGTTGAATAACCTTCATGTGTTACCTGCTGCGTTCCCGCCGATCCGGAAGGCGGACAGCCCCTCGGGCTAACGGAGAAAGTAGTGCTTACGTCATAGTACACCAAGATACACGCAGGAATGGAACTAATGAGAGATGTAATGCCTCGGTGAAAGTGATCAGCTTCCATCCCCCCCCCAAAAACAAACTTACCACTGCTAGTACAATAAAAACAAATATGCCTTGCCTAAAGAATGAATGTTGAGTATTACCTATTTCCGGTTCTTGCGCACGTGTAACGATTTAAGAGAATGCGCAGTACTTTCTTTGTTTCGGCTGTTTAAACTTTTCAAGACACGCACAGATCAGATGACGCAATTCTATGCAATACCCGTTTTCCTAGGGGCCACGCGGTATCGTAGTCAGTTGAGGCACTGTGCTACAAGCCAGAGGATCGCGGGTTTGTTTTCCGATGAGGTCATTGCATTTTTCAATTGATTTAATCTTTCCAGCCGCGCTATGGCCCTGGAGTTGACTCAGCTTCTAACAGAAGTGAGTACCAGGAATCTTCCTGGGAGTAAAGGGCGGCCGGCACGCAAGGCTGACAAACTCGGCACAATCTGAGAGTCGATTTTCTAGAAAATGTAGGAGCCTCGACGCCTCACAGCCCTATGGGCTTCCTCGGCCTGTTACAGGGGTAGCTTTACCTTTTATTTTTACTTACCCATTTTCCTAACACGTGTGTGTGTGTGTGTGTATACGAGCATATACCGAACAAATATAATACTCTGTTTTACACCCCGTACTCTTGAGGTAAAAGATAAAAAGATAAAATTGTCCCTGTGCTCAACCACTTAAGCACTATGCCATGAAAACGTATGGGGGAGTGGATGTATAGACCCACATTTTCTTCACCTAGGCACTAGCTGGAGGTGAGTGGTCAGCCTCACGCTCCCGGCGCTTTACCCCCAGGGAAAGAGCCCCCGGTACCCAATGGATAGGAGGCTGGGTGGACCCCAGAGCCGCTCTGGACGATGTGGAGAAAATTCTTGATCCTATCGGGACTATCTCCGACCCCTCGGTCGTAGCTAGTCGCTGTATCTAATACGCCATCCCGGCTCCCTGTACTTGGGGTATTGTTCGGAAATGGGAAGTAAATACTTTCAATTTAGAGAGGAAGTTCGTGTGTTCAATATTTCCTTGATACCAAGGAAGTACTGATTTCCTGGAAGCTCCTGCCCAACAACACATTTAAATACTTAGCGCGCTGATGCGTAAAGTTCGACTGCGTAACGCTCCACAGTTGTCGCGCTTCTCAGTAAACGAATTGTATCTCGAGGAGGGCTATACACTATCATGTGACGCTGTAGAGCCTGGCAGAACTATGCCAACGTTTCGGAGGATCGTACTGCCTCTGTATTAATGATGGAATAGTAAGACAAGCTTGTTTCCTTTGCGTACTGTTTGACGCGAGAGACAGAGGCCGTACGTTCGCAGCATACGACGGTAAACACACCAAACCATATGGCGTTTCATTCAGCATTCTCCAGACCGCGTCTCCGCTGCAAATACCAACCAGTTAACGCTGTGTAGAGAAATAATTGCCGCTAATTCTGAGACTCAAATGAAACACATAAACACACTCAGTGAGTAAAATGCGGAGTCTCTGTAATAAATGCAGGTGGTATCTATAGTTACCATTATGCTTTAAGTGACTGACTTATAATTCAAAGAAATTACTGCAATTAAACCATGGAGCAGGTTGGCGCAACGGTAACGGGAGATGCTTAGTTCGAATCTCGGCCGAAACATAGGCTTTCCTGATCATCCTGACTGGGATTTTCCGCCGTTTTCCTCAGTCCCTCCAGATTTGGGGTAGTGCCTCAATCAGACAGCGACTGCCTCCCTTCATATCCGTTGCAATCCAGTATTCACCCCTCATTCAACAATTAGACGCCGCACTGTATGAGGCACTGAGCGCCTCATTAAACAGACCACATAATTAGAAAAATGATGAAATCAAGAATTTGGCAAGCAATGGAGCGCGCTTAGCAAGAAGCAACATATACAAGACATTAGTCGGAAAATCCCATGTAAGCAAATACACGTACTTGCAAAACCTAAGTACAGATGGGATCAGAATTTCGAAGCTGGTCTTAAAGATAGGGGCATGACAGTGTGGACAGCAGCCACACCGAAATTCTTGTCTAAATATGCAATTGTCCCACAAACTGGGCGCAATAATTCTACTGAGGAACGTGTTCAGTGAAAGGGCCTGGATAGCTCGGTTACTGGTTAAATGATTGGCAAGTTCGCTTTCGAGTCCCGACAGGCACCACAGTGCCTCGACCGGCACTGGGTCCCGTCCAGCCTCCTACCCAATCCGTAACTCGGGCACCATCCCGGGGGTAAAATGGCAGGGGCATGAAGCTGAACACTACCTCCATCTGATGTCGAGGCTGAGCATTTGGGGATCCATACCCCTCTCCCCCAACTTCTCACGGTACGGTGCTTAATTAGACACAAAAACAAATGTGTCTTATATGGAACTGTGGTCCCCAGTGGGACTACTGCACCAGCCCCAGATTAGTTAATTGTAGGAGTGGGTTGGGACTGAGTCCCTTGGTACTGCGGCCTCAAATGGGGCTACTGTACCGGCCCCTGATGAGTTAATTGTAGGAGTGGGTTGGGACTGAGTCCCTTGGTACTGCGGCCTCAAATGGGGCTACTGTACCGGCCCCTGATGAGTTAATTGTAGGAGTGGGTTGGGACTGAGTCCCTTGGTACTGCGGCCTCAAATGGGGCTACTGTACCGGTCCCTGATGAGTTAATTGTAGGAGTGGGTTGGGACTGAGTCCCTTGGTACTGCGGCCTCAAATGGGACTACTGCACCAGCCCCAGATTAGTTAATTGTAGGAGTCGGTTGGGGCTGAGTCCCTTGGTACTGCGGCCTCAAATGGGGCTACTGTACCGGCCCCTGATGAGTTAATTGTAGGAGTGGGTTGGGACTGAGTCCCTTGGTACTGCGGCCTCAAATGGGGCTACTGTACCGGTCCCTGATTAGTTAATTGTAGGAGTGGTTTGGGACTGAGTCCCTTGGTACTGCGGCCTCAAATGGGACTACTGTACCGGCCCCTGATGAGTTAATTGTAGGAGTGGGGCTGGAGTGAGTCCCTTGGTACTGCGCCCTCCAATGGGACTACTGTACTGGCCCCTGAAGAAAGATGTGTATGGAGAACTGGAGGAATTATAACCGGCAGGAAAAACTGAAATGCTCATATACACGTAAGAACCAACCTCAGTCGCCTTTAGTCCACCATAAATCCCAAAAGGACTATGCTATGATCGAGCCAGGGCCTCCGCGGTGGGAACCTCGCGACGTACCACTGTACCATGGCCGATGACCAAGGAAGTAGTCTATGAAGCAACTGAAGGAGAAAAGGACTTCCTGGATACGGATTTACATAACAAGGAAGCTGACATGCGCAGACGGCAACGTAGAACTTTCTTCCGGGCTACATGGAACCGGACGACAGAGACAGTAGTATTGGCCATCGTTTATAAACATTTGTTTGTGACGTCGGGCTCGCAGGCTCAGCCTGTAGCGCTTCTGACTTGTGTTGCACGGATTTCCCCAGTTGCTTCAGGCAAATGCTGGGACACTATCTAAAATCAAGCCACGACCACTTCCATCCACATCTTTTTTAAATTCATTACTCGCTATATCGAATCAGCCAATGGTACGCAGAACTGAGCTGCACACAGGTCGGGTAAATAAACTACAAATAAGTAATCAAACAGATACAGAAATTTACTGATTGGATCACTTCCATATTGAGGGCCGAAAAATGAGCCGCGCGGCATGTCGTCCGCTTGTGCTGGCTTCTTGCTTATCTTCTCGACCATGAAGACGAAGGCGGAATGTTCCCCCGAAATGTCGGGCTGTCTCCAACTACAAAACGCTACACCCCAGAAGAACTCAAAACCCAACGTATCCATTTAGTTTATGCGCGATAGATTTCAGTGAATTCCCAAATCAAAAACCTCTGAATTTTGGGGGCCCAGTACGCCAGGTTTGTGACGCTGTTTAGTTTGGTACATAGGTACCAACATTTCAGAAACCTCTAGCTTCCACCCTTGTTGAAGACGCAGATGGCAGGGTCCTTCAAAATATGGTACCAAACTAGACTGTGTCATATACCAGAACATCGTTACTTGATCAGGCCTACTCACCGCCGTGAAAACCTCAAATCCCACCACTAAACTTGTGTTAGGTTAGGAAGAGTACCACGCAAGGCAAGAGAGTTAAACCTGACCGTTATACCTGAATGTCTGTCGGTGACAGTACCAGCATTTAAACCCGTCTCCGAACTTACTTAAAATTCTGTACGGGAGTCCTCCACTGAGGCTTTTGGGCCAGTTCCGATTATCAGCCAAACTGATCAGTAATAAAGCCTTACACAAGGCCACAAATGGACTTTTCCACGTATCCCATGAACGCATTCCATAGATTCTGTTGTAATTTGCTGGTTTACACTTCAGTATTCCTTAACCCACGTACGCCCTAGAAACGGCATAGAAGGTAAATGTTAATCTTGTGCGCTACATCATGCCATCTTGTTTACAGATGAAAGGTCCTGGCTGTACCGCAAGTTCTGCACGGGAGGCGTAGATCCTAGCGACCCAAACAACCCACGAGATAACAAAGAACACTGCATCATGGCCTATTTCCGAGATAATATGGCTCCCATCCTCAACTGGTGGCCGGTCAAAGTGATCGTGGTGGCCGTCTTCGCATGCTACATTGCAGGTGCCTGCTATGGCATCACGGGAATCACAGAGGGACTCGAGCGACGGAAACTCTCCCGGTCTGACTCCTACTCAGTTGAGTTTTACGACCGGGAAGATTTCTACTTCCGAGAATTTCCATACAGGATCCAGGTAACAATAATATGCTCCATGTACTATGGGAACAATGTTGCGTCATTGTTAGAGACCTACCGTTACATCATCATCAGGAAGTTACTAGATTCCATTTTCAACATACTTCCGGTACTCACACGCCGGTGGGAATTTTCGTCCGTAAAGTTGCCTACATGAGGTATGACGTAGATTGTTTCATACAGGAAGTGGGCCTTAATGAACATTAAGCATTCTTTACAAAGTAAAACTGAACGTCATGTGAAGGTCAAGAATGCCTGTCAGTCTCTCCGTGACCTTGTTGGAGCAATTAAACTGTTGGAGAAATTCCTTGGAAGATGTCTTCTAGAATGTGACGCTGTGTATTCTGGCAGCGTTTACTGATAGTTTCAGAGAAACGTGCTGTTACCATCTTCAGGATATCTACCTCAAGATGGAAGGAGCACATTGCTCTGCAACGCCGGTATAAACGGACCGGACTGCTATCCCAGTGATTCAACAATTATCCTGTATAATCTTGATTCTGACAGCATCGTTATATGAGCCACATAAGAGATGACTGAACCAATGGTCAGCAGCACCCTTCAAAATTAATCTTTTCTCAAATGGAGTACTGTCATTTTAATATACACAGCTGTCATGACCTCAAATGTCAGATATGGGTAAATGGTAAATACATTTAAGTGTTCTCGGACGATCGCCCGTTTTTATATATTGAACTAGTGAGTTTTCTTCGTATTGCTAAGTAACCGTGATGTCGGTACAGAGGTATGAAATAATTTATGTCTCATTTCGTTCCCCCATAACAGTGGTTCTCAAACTTCTTCGGACCGCCGCCCCCATGGTTCCATAAACTCAACCCCAGTGCTCCATGCCCTGTCCCACAAAAAGCATTCTTCAGAATAGCGGTTTGCCCAACCCACTACGGAAGACAATGACAAAATAAAATACCGCATTTAGAAACTACTTCACTGTTAGTAAATTGCTAATGCGATGGATGTGCTTGATGAACTTATACCAGTTTCCCAATGTCTGGTCTGTCACTTCAGTTATAAATAAGCAAACATGGCGCTGGGAGAGGCCCACTTCCTGTTGGGAGCCACTGCCCTGTAGTGTAAGTAAGTACACTGATGTTTTCAGGATGGATTACAACGCAAACTTCCGCCTACCTCGAGATTTCCGTCTTTGGTGACTTCTCATGGCGCGCCCGTTAATTACGTCAATGTTACTACTGTATGTTATAGGTGGTGATCAGTGGTGAGCTGAATTATTCTGATCCAGTGATCCAGGCTCAGGTGGAGAACCTGACTCAGACATTTGAGAACACGACCTACATCTCCTCTCCGCTGTACACAGAATCCTGGCTGCGGTCTTTCGTCGGCTACGTTCATCGGAACCAAGACTACCTCAACGTGTCCATAGACACAGAACAGAGCTTCATCAAGACGCTTAAGGAGGTGAGACTTCGCTTTTACAGTTCTACAGCCGAAATATCTGTCAGTATAGTGACTGTGCTGTGGCCTGGGTACCTTAAGGTTTACATCCATTCCACCGTGTCCAGACCCGGCTCTGGGGCCCACAAAAACCTCCGATCCAGTGGATACTTAGGGATCTTTCTCCGGGAGTAAAACTGACCACTCACCTCCATTTAGTAACAAGGTTACGAATGCGTACATATACCTCCACGCCTCCATACATCTTCATAATATGGTGCTTAATTACAAAGACAACGTTATGGTTTCAATAGAATCCCAGGGGCTCTCTTCTCTGCACCGTCCTACTAGCTGTCGGGCCCATCCAGTGAATACTTGGGGATCTTTCTCCGGGGTTAACGTGGTTGGAGCGTAAAGCTTATCGCTTACCTCAATTTAATGCAGAGGTTAAAAATGATAGAAATATATATGCAACTCCTCTTATACATATTCATATTACAGTGCCAGAAAATTATGATTAAAAGGTAAATGTATCCCTGTAACAGGTCGTCGAGGCTCCCACATTTTTCTAGACAGTCAGCTCACAGAAAGCGGTCAGGTCAGCCTTACACGGCGGCAGACCGCCCTTTACCCCCAGGAAGATTCCTTGTATTCATTTTTGTTAGAGGCTGAGTCAACCCCAGGGCCAGAGTATGGCTGGAAAAATTAGGGCATTTGAAAAATCCAGTGACCTCATCGGTAATTGAACCCGCAACCTTCCGGCTTGTAGCATAGATCCTTAACCAATTATGCTACCATGTGCCCCAGAAAATTATATGCAAGATATTAAGTAGCAGCTTATCAATGTTCAAAAAGATTTATGCAATCAGGATACGGTGATAAATTTTGATTTGTCAGTTGTAAATATAAAAAACGACTAAGAAATAACATACAGTAAAGTCCCTGTCAACCGAAGTGAATGGAGAAGTTCATGGAGGTAGGCCTAGGCCCACTGGGGCTGTAGTGCCAAGTGGGGGGGGGAAGTCCCTGTCATCACCAGTTGATATGTGGAAGTGCTACACGCACCCTTAACTAGGTCTGCCCACAGGAGTTTTTATCTGTAATAAATATACATCAAGATCAAAAAGATGTTCAAAGGCATAGGAAAAATCTGTAAACTTTGCATACACTTCCAAGACTTCCAAAGACCAGGATCTGGAAGCATGTGCTCTAAAGTTAGACTCTCCTTTTTCTAATATTTGTATACTGACTTTATATAGAGCCCCATCTGGAAACTTCGATCACTTTATAAATAGATTAGAAACCATCCTAAATGTACTACATAGTTCAAAAGTTGAATTTATAATTTGTGGTGATATAAATATAAACTATCTCATCGACAGTAATAGGAAACTAAATTTAGACTCTTTGTTATCATCTTACAATCTCTCCAGTACTGTTAACTTTCCCACAAGAGTTCAAAATAATTCTAGTTCAGCGATAGATAATATATTCATTGATAACTCAAAATTAAGAGACTATACTGTAGGACCCTTTATAAATGGCTTATCCGATCATGATGCTCAACTCATAGAAATAAATAATATTGACCTTCAGCCCAGTAATCAACAATATCAAACAGTAAGGAAAATCAACAAGCATACGATGGCAGATTTTGTCACAAAATTAAGTAATGAATCATGGGACAATGTATTTGACAGCAATAATATTGATTCTAAATTTAATTGCTTTCTGAACACATACTTGAGGATCTTTTATTCAAGCTTTCCCTTAAAAATAGTCAAAAATGAAAATAAAAACAAATCCACCTGGATAACAATTGGAATAAAAACTTCATGTAAACACAAAAGACAACTATATTTGGCCAGTAGGGACAGTAATGATCCAAGACTAAAAAGTCACTACAAAATGTACTGTAAAATTTTGTCAAAAGTCATTAAAGAAGCCAAACAGAATAACTATAACAGCCAAATTCTAAAATCAAACAATAAAATTAAAACCACCTGGGATATTGTGAAAGTTGAATCAGGAAAGAAATCTGTTAATGAAGACGTACAAAGTTTGAATATTGAAGGGAAGTCCACTAACAATCCACAAGCTATCGCAAGTGCATTTAATGAATATTTCCTTTCATTAGCTGAGAAAACATATTCCAATAATAATAATAATAATAATAATAATAATAATAATAATCCAATATACTATCTGTCTCGTGCCTTTAACAATTCATTTCCAAATATCAATCTCAAATTCTCAACAAGGAAGGAAATTGAAAACATTATTAAATCCCTTAAGCCCAAAAATTCACATGGATATGATGAAATCTCTACCAAATTACTTAAAGCAAGCTCTGTTTACATCAGTTCACCCTTGAATCATCTATGTAATAAATCTTTATCATCAGGTACTTTTCCTCAACGCTTAAAATACGCTGTAATGAAACCACTTTTTAAAAAAGGAGAGAGAAAATGCATCTCTAATTACAGACCAATATCCATATTGACTTCATTCTCAAAAGTCTTTGAAAAAGTTATGTATAATAGACTACTTGAACACTTAAATTCTAACAACATATTAGTCAAAGAGCAATTTGGATTTAGGAAAGACCTAACAACAGAAAAAGCAACCTATGAACTAACTAACGATATTTTAAGTGCTCTCAATGACAGATTAATTGTGGGAGGGATTTTCTGTGATCTAGCAAAAGCTTTCGATTGTGTTAATCATGATATCTTACTATCGAAATTAAATTTCTATGGAATAACTGGCAAAGCTAATGAATGGATCAAATCATACCTCAAAAACAGGTATCAAAGAGTTGAAATAAATAATAAAAACTCCAGTCATAATGCATTTTCAAACTGGGGAATTATAAAGCACGGTGTTCCACAAGGATCAATTTTAGGTCCCTTACTTTTTCTTCTCTACATAAATGATCTATCTAAAACCATCAACAATAAATCTAAACCAATTCTATATGCAGATGACACTAGTATAATATTTAAGAACTCTAAATTTGAAAACTTTAAAAATGACATAAATATTGTATTTGAAGCCTTAAACAGATGGTTCGAAGCCAATTTACTCTCATTAAATTTTGATAAAACCCATTACATATCATTCACAACTAAAAACAACCACCAAATTGATCTGGACATCAGTTATGCCAACAAATTAATCTGTAAAGTACTTGATACAAAATTCCTTGGAATACATGTAGACAGTACACTGTCTTGGAAAATACATATTGAACAAATTATACCTAAATTAAATGCAGCTTGCTATGCGATGAGATCAATTAAGCCTTTTATGTCACAGGAAACATTGAAGATGGTTTACCATGCCTACTTTCATTCTATTATGAACTATGGATTAATATTTTGGGGGAACTCTTCACATAGTGTAATAATTTTTAAAATACAAAAGAATATAATTAGAATCATTACAGGATGTAGAAGTAGAGATTCATGTAGAGAATTATTTAAGAAATTAAAAATTCTACCTCTTCAATCGCAATACATATTATCGCTTCTCTTATTTGTTGTTTACAACAAAGATAAATTCAAATTAAATTCTGATGTCTATAACATGAATACTAGACAAAAATATAACTTCCACCTACCCTCATCAACTTTATCAGTATATCAAAAAGGAGTCTACTTTACTGGCATAAAAGTGTTCAACAATCTGCCACAAAGTATTAAAAACTTGGGCAATGATACTAAAAAGTTTAAATCAGAGTTAAAGAATTATCTACATGCTCATTCCTTCTACTCTTTAGATGAATACTTCAATGTAAATAGAGAATGATGTAAAATTAAGTTATATTAATTTTTAAGCTAAAATTGCCTGTACTTATGTATGTAACCTTTTGACTTGTTCTGTATCCAAAGGTACTAACCTACTTAGGATTTATAGAATGTAAATAAATTCAATTCAATTCAATTCAAGGTAGAATGCACTCCTCCATCTACACGTATGTTCTGGCACTACTTTCTGTGACACCTCTCTGGCTTGTTTCAGCTATGGCTGTACAAACCAAACCCATTCTCCCTCGATGTGAAGTTCAATGATGATGGAACACGTATCATTGCATCACGACTTCTTATACAAGCTGTTAACATCAGCGATACCAACGGAGAGAAGGAGATGGTTCGAGCGCTGAGGAACGTCTGCCACCAGTCACCTCTAAACGTCAGTGTTTTCCATCCATATTTTGTCTTCTTTGATCAGGTAAGCAAATTATAAACACTAAAATAAAGCCTATTGATATATCAACCCAACCTGGAACACAAAATGTGTTGACCAAAAATTTCTCTACAAGAACAATTTTGTTGCCCACAATAACAAAGGTCACCAAGAATGCCCGACTGCAATAACTTGAAAACTTCTGGTGAGACACTTACATTTACACTAAGATACTAAACTTAACAGAACAACAATACAGTGCCGACTAGAGCATACTTTCCAGTGCCATGTATTGCTACCAATTTCTGCTCCTATTTATAACTATTTCTTATCTTACATAATAATAGAGTAGAATTAGCCATTCATATATATATATATATATATATATACACGTGTATGTGCACACAGACTGCTTTTATTCAGCTGGTGCATGTACTGGCAAACAATGAATGAGCACCAGCAAAACTGCCAAAAGTTTCTAGAAACAGGCATTGTATAAGCACTTGCACATATCTATTTTTATTAAGTATCAAATTTTATTTATATATGTATCTCAAGAATTATAAAGGGTATTCTGGTAACATTTAATAGTTCTTAAGGCATTGTACTTCAGGATTCCTGCATCTTTACTACTGGCAAGCTCTGTTATTCTGCACCTTTGTTGGTACATGATTACATATTTTACTTCTGCCAGCAACTGGTTTAGCTAAGAGTAATCTCCAACATTAATCATTAAATAAAATATTTCCTGAAATTATCAAATATTATTATCAATCACACTATTCTGAAAATAGCCATTTTTTAAATAAGGTAAATATATCACAATTTTTAGAGCAGTAATACATGCAATAATGTCAGCCAGCTGTATTTGATGCTCAGAATATGTTAAATGTATAGATAACTTGTAATAAACAATGCTGTTCTTAATTGAATGACGGGAAAGAAAGACGATCAAGCACAAATGCTTATGTGGGTTCTGAAGAAAGAACTCTGTTCATTTGGAACTCTAGGAACAAATTTTTGGTGATTCACGAAAGGAAATTAAGTAAAAAATCTGTAAACTGAGGTAAGAGCATGATAAAATTCTCTTTATTAAAATGATCAAACAAAAATCAGGTTGTCTTTATGCACAACGCTTTTTATTCTGATACAATAAAATACCAAGTTAAATGCAGTAAACTCTAACTAATATAGAGTAACTGAGGGGAGAAGTCATCCAGATTAAGAAAACATAGGTCTAAAAGACAAATAAATGGAAAATTTAATGATATAAATAGTGATGAAAATAAATAACAAAATATTACCGAACAGCCTTTATTTAAAAACTATAGAAAGGCAATACATTTATTCATCGATTGAAGACTCAGAAGTTGTACATTTTTTTAACATAATACTGTAGGTAGATTCTAACAGGTTCTTACGATGGTGTATAACACTCAGAATTACTGGGCCTTTGGACTTTTTCCATCATCTAATATTCTAAAAACTAGAGAACACAATATTTCGGAAACTGGATCTGTTGCCATCCTCACGTGAAGGGGGAAGACACCTACTCAGTTGGGTCCCTTAAAAAGAACTGACTTCAATCACTGCCTTAGCTCTAAGGGACCGAACTGAATAGGTGTCTTCTCCCCTTACCTGAGGATGGAAACGTATCCAGTTTCGAAAATGTCATGTTTTCTAGTTTCTAGAATATCGGACAATGGGAAAAAGTCCAAAAACCCAGTAATTCTGAATAATAATGCAGAAAATGTCAAGTTCTGTCTGAACAGACAAGTGACTCATGTGCCTTCCTAAATGCCATGTGTCTTTTGCAGTATGTACTCAACTGTGAACAGAATTTCTCATTCCTCATGTTTTGATCCACATTAACTGCAACTGGATTAATGAGGGTTCACTGTATATTATTACATAATCATAAAAAATAGTGTAGTTTTCTTCTAGTGACTTAACACCACAGAAATAACTCTGTTGCACGGTAACTCGGTGATAACCATCTGGTATTGAAGTATTACCAGCTGACATTTCTAACAATGAGGATTTTTCCTGTTACAGTTTGAACTGGTGCGTCCGACTTCCATTCAGTGTATGATAATTGGTGCTCTTGTCATGATGGTGGTGTGCTTTGTCTTCATTCCCAACATTCTGTGCTGCGTTTGGGTTGCCCTGTCCATCATTTCCATTGAGGCCGGAGTCGCGGGATATATGGCGCTGTGGGGAGTGAGCCTCGACTCCATCTCGATGATCAATCTCATCATGTGCATAGGATTCTCAGTTGATTTCACAGCACACATATGCTATGCCTACATGTCATCTAAAGGAAGCACCCCTGAAGAGCGCGTTAAGGAGAGTCTGTATGCCCTAGGGCTGCCCATCGTTCAAGGGGCTAGCAGTACGATCCTTGCAGTTATAAGCCTTGTCCTCGCAGGCAGCTATATCTTCTTGGTGTTTTTCAAGATGGTGTTCCTTGTAGTGTTCTTTGGAGCAATGCACGGTCTCTTCCTTTTGCCAGTATTACTATCCCTCTTTGGACCTGGCTCTTGTACCGCCTCCAGAAAGCAAAAACCAGTGGAAAAACAGTCGCCCGACACAAAGCATCCCTCTGAAGTGGAGAAAACTTTTCCTCACCCATTCTGTATTCCCCATCCTTCTCTGAACCCATTAAGTCACAGTAACTTTGTATATAGATGTACAAATGGTGAGATGAAATCTTCATCACCAAAGTATTTTGGAAAGAGTAATGAAGGGAATTATCACCTCAAAAATGTTGGCAATGGCCCCCACTTTGGCGTCCCGCTGCCAGGTCTCCCGAGTCATATGATAATGTACAGTGCAGGAAAATATGGTGATACATCAGGGTCCTTGGAGAAAGATTTGGGTTTAGGAACATCTGGGGAAGATTCCAGTGAAGCCAGCTCAAACAAGTCCCAACGTCGTCTGCAGCAAAGGGGTGAGGCAGGGGAGGACTGTGAACAACGCAGACATTATGAGGATGGATGGCGGAAGTCATCTTCAGCCCACGCAATTGGAGCACAAAATCGCCATGGAAGGCCACAAGAATTCCAACCTCCTCATCTCATGGAAGTATACAATAATTCTGGATACCTCAGTGATGAAGGAGGGCGGCACCGCAGCAGACGCGACCAAGCCTCTGCATGGCATAGGAACCATCCACGTAATGATTCTAGGCAATATTCTCCTAGGTCTAAGTCACAAAGCAATCGTTACCAGCATCACCATTCACATAGTGTGCCTAGTTATATAGGGGAAATGAAATTTCCATGACGAAGGAATGAACACTTGTCATAAGAGCTCAAAACGAATGACTGCCTATGTGACTTGTCCAGAATGGGCCATATTAGGAACAGTGTGACTACATAGTATATATTGCATACAAGATCTAAATGGAAAATGTGAAAATTGGTTAGCAAGATCTGTGGCTGTATTGCATAGCAAGACTAATCTTTTGTTTGCAGAACATACTGTGTGTTGTCATGCAAATAAATGACTTAAAAAGACTTCCAGGTGACAAAATAGTGTTCAGTATACATGGCACTGTCCCTTAGTCAGACTGATACGTCAACCTGAAAAACATATGTTATTAATGATCCAGCTAGAAGACAATAATGTTGTTATTTTATTCAACAACGATGAAAGGGGCGTGAGTGCTGATATATAACGCGGAGGGTCATATTACTATATTATGATACAAGAGGTGTGGACCGCAGGAGTTGTTTCCAAGGGGAACCACAAATGTTTACATAATTTTAGGAAGCAACCATTCTAAAGACTGTGAATGACACTGTAGGATATTAGACACATCATATGTTAAGGATATTAATTGGATTTAACTGGTTCAGGATCTTGTGCAATGGTAGTTTGGTTTCAAAATCAGTGAGCCTGGGGCCCCTATATTATGATGTAAACGTGGAACAAAGATGATAGTTGTGGGTACTTGCCAATCTGAAGAAGCACAGTGTGTTTCATCAAAGTCAAAGATCATAGAAGCGCATATAAGACTGTTTATTTAAGGGACAGTTATAGACTGCTGTTATCTACAATTTCTGCCTGATTCTCTCTCCCTGCACCAAGTTTTGCCTCAAGTGAGATTCTGACAAAACTGAAGTTTCCGATCCTAATTCATGTACTGAAGATGGCAATGTGCAAGTGTTCAGTTTATGCTGCACTGCTTTTGTGTTTGTAGTGATTATCAAATTGAATTGTTCTATTGGTTTTATATCCAGTTTTTATAACATGTTACAGAATAACATGTAACCCAGATTAATAAGATACTGAAAATATTTCAAAGACATCTTCATTTCAGAATTTCTCATCACAGGACATCCAGACTACATTAAAATCTAACATAAATCACAGTGCACAGGAATGTAGCTGTTCCAGTGGATGGATTTAGATATTCACCTGCAATGTCCTAGGAGCGTTTACAGGTTATTCCACTGCTTCGGTCATTTGTGATCATTGTTCAACACCACAGATTTCTTTTTTGCCTTTTCAGCCGCATCCCGTATTTTTCAAGCACTGCCACACTCCAGATCAGATTTTTAACACACACACACCTATACATGCTACTTTCCCTCTTGTTATTCTTTGAATTATCATGGAGAAAAGGGTTAGTACTGCCTCCTGAATTTAATTCTTTGAAGAGACATGAAAATTCAGCTGTTAAAAAGCTCGATCTTCTAGGATACAATGTCATCTAAACAAGGTAAAATTAAATCTATCCCCGTAACAAGCTGTAGAGACATATAGGGTTGAGAGATGCTGAGGCTCCCACATTTTTTAGACAACTGGCTAACAGACAGTGATGAGCTTGTTAGCCTTACACACCTGCCACCCTTTACACCCAGGATGATTCCTGGTACTTATTTCTGCTAGAGGCTGAGACAACCCCAGGGCCATAGTGTGGCTGGAAGGATTAGATCAACTGAAAAATCCAATGGCATTGGGAATCAAACCCGGAACCTTCCGGCTTGTAGCACAGTATACAATATCATGCAGTCTGCTGAAAGCAAACCAGCATTTCAGAGGAACATGTCACCTCCATCCTCAAGCGCAGAGAATAAGTCAAGCAAAAAACCACTGTGAATCAGGTACCAGACTCTGTTTGCTACCTCCATTGGTGTGACTAAAACAAATTGGAAATGAACATGACCGGAGGTTGGCCCAACAGACGCCACAGGGACGTGTAGTTTCATGGTTGGATTGGCAGACATGCTAGAAAGACATTTGAGTGTATTCAGGGTTGGCACTGAAAGAATTAAAGATGTCCACAAATGCGGAATATGTGTATGTTACATACTGTGATATCATAAAGGCGACCACTGAAAACTTGATCTGAGCATGAGATTGTGATTGGTTCAGTTATTTTAAGGACACACGAGTGCCTGCTGAAATTGTATGCCCCCTAAACAACATTCAATCAATAACAGTGACCCAGAACACAGTGCAGTCTCCATGTAGTCATGTAGGTGAATACCTACATCTTGAAGGAAGGTTGTCAACCTTAAGCACTGGATGCCCTTTACCCCCACAAAGATTTCTGGCACTCATTTCTCTTAGAGGTTGAGTCGACCAGAGGGCAAAGCGTGGCTGGAAGGATTAGGTTAATTGAAAATTGCGGGAATCGAACCCACAACCTTCCTGCTTGTAGAATACTGCCTCAAGCAATTACACTAATCTATAAGAGTAAAAGTTAAGCTATCCCTGTAACAGGCCATGGTGGTCCATAGGGTTGTGAGACGTTGAGGGTCTAGACCAGGCATGTCCAACTTCAAACAGGTTGTGATCGATTGTTTAGTGTCAAAACTGCCAGTGATCTACCACCCCCTCCTATCGTCGTATCTCGCTTTAAGCAAAAATATTGGTAAAAATAACAGGACACATGATGTTTGTTGTGAAAGCAACTAGTAACTGGGCTCTCTCTCTGATGTCTGTAGATTCATCCAGCTGGAGGGAGAAAGCAACACAACTGGAAACATCTTTCAACTGTTGTTATGTTTCCACACATCATTTCTATTCGCTGCACAATGGTGTTACTTGATAATTGAAGATCTTGAATAGTAGTTAGATCTCTTTCTTATTTTTAAATCCTTCAAAAAGATTATCAGCTATTTCAAGAAAACAATCTTTTACAAATTCCCATTCTGTGAAAGGTTTGCATTTTTTAATGATCAGATTGCTGACCTTGAAGGATGATTTGGTTGCATTGTTAGAAAGTGACCTTGGTTTTGCCATCAACCGTTGTTGGGATGCTAATTTCGATTTAAGATCTTCGAGCTTAAGTTCATGAATTTCACTTTTGGGTGGAAAATCAGAATCATACTTATTGCTATGGAGAGCATTATAATGGCGTTCCAGATTACCCTTTTTTTTTGGCAAGGATACTGAGGCGTTGCATTTTCCACTACAATGAGGTAACTGTTTTATCCGACACACGCACACAGACGCTTTCAAAGTTATTAAAATAACGTGGGCAGACCACTTACTGATCCTTTGATTACACTGAGCTCATCCCCAAATTCTTTATTTGTTTAATGCACAGCAAAGCGACAAATCTCCACTAACAGCTAATATAATATATGTCTCACTTGTTAATTCAACATACGGGGATTCACAGTTGACTGGAGGAAGGGAACGAAGTGAATCACATGTTCTGTCGATCACTCTTGCATCAGAACACACGCGGCTAACGACGAGCGATGAAATAAGAGTTCACGTGATAAGGATAGAGTAGGAACTTCCCCACAGTTCACTTAACACAAGTGTAAAGCAATTTTCACGTCAGCTACATAAGAACAGAAAAATAGGAATGACTAATATGTATTTTCCCTTCAAAATCTGAATATAATCATATTATATTACAAGCGAACTTGGTAAGGTGGTAAGGTTGTCAGCCTAATGTGCTTTACTCCCCAGGAAAATTATTTATTTAATTCCTGGTACTCATTTCTGTTAAGAGGCTGAGTCGACCCCAGGGCCATAGGGTGGGCAGAAGGATTAGGTCAATTGAAAGAATCCAATGACCTCATCAGGACTTGAAGCCACGACCTTCCAGCTTGTAGCATAGTGCCTCAACCAACTACGCTTCAAAATGTGTGATACCAGAAAAGCAAAGTGGACTGATACTGGCCTACTAATGTCGCCAAAATATTCATAACATTTCAGTTAACTGAAAAATGTAGAGAATACAAAGAACACATCTCATCTTTGCAAGATTACAGTCTTCTCAGATGTGATAGATAGGTAGTAGTGTTTCAGAGGAACTTGCTGCCTCTACTTTCATGGCAAAAGAAGTGTCTTCTCCTACCTATCAAGACTATGAATGATATCCGGAAAGTAAAGATAGAAAGTCAAGAAAAATATTTGTAAATCTTTTTTCTTTTATTCACTCGTAGCACTTTTACAACACACCTTTATTTACTTTTCAACATGATATCATGGATCGCAATGTACTTAGTAAGCCTGGAAACGATTTTTTTTATTCCAGCATCATAGAAATCTCTCACTTGTTCTCTTAGCCATGGAGAACAGTTCTTGACATTGTTGATGAAGTTAATCGATGGTGAAACATCTGTCAGCATTATATTTTCATCAGTGACTATGGATGGTCTTCCACTCCTCATTTCATCATGAACATCACTTCTTCCCGCTTCGAATTCATAACATCATTTTGCCATGTTTTGCCTGTTCATAAAATCTTCAACATAAACAGAAACAAGTTGGTGATGAATTTCAGCAGCAGTTTCTCCTTTCACTTGAAGAAATCCGAACCTCTAATCTCAGATCATGCTGTTCAATAATGATCCAATATTACATTTCTATCTTATCTTCAGAAGCCAAAACTGTACCAGTGTTCAAAAGATCCAATTTCATGAAAACTTGCTACTGCAAACTTTGTTGCCACTGTTTAATAGCAGTCAAACAATAACTGAATGGATGTATGAATATAAGCTATACATACGTATATTCTGACAATGGAAACAAGTTCCTGTGACATATTTTGTGAATTAATTACAATTATTATTAGTATCACTTACAAAAATATCCATACTGAGTATCAATACACAATAAACATCTCTGAAATTAAACCAAACAATCTTTATTTCGATTATCTGGATGGCATACCTTTGTGATGAATACAGATGTAGCAAAGTTCCTATTCACAATGTCAATTACTGTTATTACACTTTTCAGTGAAGGAACACAGTACAAAACTTCACATCTTTGCATCTGTCAATTTCTACACACCGTGCTCTTAAAATAAATTATTTTTATTTATAAAAATAATCAGACATCCTTGCATAAAAACGTTAGTACACTAACTTCTCCCATGTTGGGACGCAGCTATTATACAGTAATGATGATGGTAACTCAACAAAGATGCGACTGACTGTGCCATTATATAAAACATAAAAAATAAACACAATGTGTCCGAAAAAACTGACATGTGAAAGTCGTAAGAAGGTCCTGACATATCCAATGCACCAAACTGCCACTGCTAACAGGGGCTGCTCAATAAAACCCATTCAGGGATTCCTTTGCGCAGACAGTTTTTACGGGCACTGAGGCAGCAATCCTGATGAGGCACCAGAAGGTGGATCCCTTCCGCAAGAATTCTTTGGGCTGCTGCTGCTGCAACCACTGCACTGAAACAGGCCTGGGCTTTGTCTGTTCTGAACAAACGACCCTAAAGTGCTCTCTAGAGGGAGTTAAACATAAGCGAATGTGTGAACTTATCTCAATGTTAGTGATGGTAAAGTTCTAAAAGCAACCCCTAGGGCTGCTGAAAATCAGGCATGCCTTGTTTGTAGGAAATCTGTCACCACTGCTGCTGGTGACAGAATGTACACCAGTCACAAATATATATCACTCATCCATGGAGCTGAGTTCTTGAAAAGTCAATTGTGCAGCTACTCAAGAACTTCCTAGCACTTTTTGGAACCCGAAGGTTCATTATCATGTTCACAGGAGCCCTCCACTGGTCCCTAACCTGAGCCAGATCAATCCAATCCAGATCATCCCATCCTGTCTAAAATACATTTTAATATTGTCCACCCCACCTACACCTTGGTCTTCCCGGTGGTCTCTTTCCATCTGGCTTTCCCACCAATATCCTATATGAATTCCGCTTCTACCCCATTTGTGCTATAAGCCCTGCCCACCTTATCCTCCTTGACTTGGATCATTCTAATTATACTTGGAGAAGAGTACAAGTTATGAAGCTCATGCAGTTTTCTCCAACCTCCTGTCACTTCATCGCCCTTCGTTCCAAATATTCTCCTCAACACCCTCAGTCTATGTTCCTCCCTTAATGTCAGAGACCAAGTTTCACACCCATACATAACCACAGGCAAAATTATAGTTTTGTATATTCTAATTTTTATGTTCTTGGACAGC